TTACAACAATGCACGCAGAGGCGACTGCAGGAATGAACTCTCATTGCAGGTACTTAAACAAAAAAGCGCTCTGGTATCCAAAGTCACAAAAAGTCGCCTGTTTGGGTTTAATCTGTGTATTGAACCAGTGTTCCAGATTTAAGTATAAATATATGAACACATATGTACAACACACAAATATACGTAGAAGCACACACAATACATGCACATGTCTTCTCTATCACAAAGATGTGTAACCATGCGCACACTCGTCACACTACTTGTATCAACTGCCTGTAAGCATTGTATGGTCTTACAACAATGCACGCAGAGGCGACTGCAGGAATGAACTCTCATTGCAGGTACTTACACAAAAAACGCTCTGATATCCAAAGTCGCAAAAAGTCGTCGAATTTTTTGTTTCATTGATTTTCCTAAACCTTATATTGCTGTCGGATGCAAAAATCAGATTGGACAAATTTGGACATTTTTACTTACACTTATTTTAATTTTTTCTACATAGTACGTTTATCTACAATCTATGATACTTCCATATAAAAAATTATATTTTAGCTCATTTGTGGCACAGTGCAGTGGCGGGCCGGATGAACTGACCTTGTGGGCCAGATCCAGCATGCGGGCCATAGTTTGGTGACCCCTGTCTCAATAGATGGAGAAAAAATACTTGGAAGTTCAGTTATCTCTCAATAGATGGAGAAAAAATACTTGGAAGTTCAGTTATCTCTCCATAGATGGAGAAAAATAGTCGGAAGTTCAATTATCTCTCAATAAATGGAGAGAAAAAAATAAGAAAAAATACTTAGAAGTTCACTTATCTCAATAGATGAAAAACTATGAAAAAAATACTTTGAAGTTCTGTTATCTCTCAATAGATGGAGAAAATGTTAAGATAAAAACACGTAGAAGTTCAGTTATCTCTCAATAGATGGAGAAAAATTAAGAAAAATACTTGGAAGTTCAATTATCTCTCTTTAGATGGATAAACAAATAATAAGGAAGAATACTTGGAAGTTCAGTTATCTCTCTATAGATGGAGAAAGACTTAAGAAAAAATACTTGGAAGTTTAGTTATCTCTTTATATATGGAGACTGTACTGAACTATTATTAAGAACCTTTACTTAAAAAACAATAGAAGTAAGTAATGTCAGTACCTTATATTTGCAAAAGAAACACGTCCTGATGCTCGTCCAATAACTATCAATTTAAATCCCTTTGTGTTCATTCCAGAATGAAAGATGCATAATTTATGTTTATTTCCTAATTTTCTATGGTGGTTGCGAGATCCTTCAAATTTTCCGGAGCCGAACAGAAATTGATTACTGAAAACAATATATAAAATAAAAAGTTTTCTCTTAGTAAACGTTTAGTAACTATTTGGACATTTTAAAAATTTCGCATATGAAAGTTCGAAATTTTCTGATGCACAAAAGTATTTTAATGTTAAGATGAAATTACTTTGCCTGACAGATAGGCAAGGTGTGAAAAAATTGCCAGCCCGATTTGTACATAAGA